TACTGATCTGGAGTAATTAAACTGAATTTTAAAATTTCCTATCTTTTTTTCTGCTTCCTCAGTTCCTGTCCTCACTCTTCACAGTTCTCCCTCTATTCACAGAGAAATAAGGAAAATTCCTGTTTAGGGAGAGAGTGTTCAGACTGCTACTGCACTTCTGTTTGGCTCAGAACAGGAATAAAGTTCTGAGTAGCACTGGTATCGTTGTTACTCAGAAGTATTGTTCCTAACTGTCAGGCAGCAAATATAAACAGAAATGAGTTGTTGGCATTGGCAAAGGATGTTTAAACAGATAACACTTAAGAATTACTGTCATGAGCTTGCATTGTATAACTGTTTATTGGATTTCCTCCTTCATATTTACTGCAGATGTGTTTGTCTTTAAAGTCGAAGTCACTTCTGCTTTGTGGAGATGTTATGTATGCTCATTTTTCTTTCAGCTTACTGATTTGTGTTAATACTAGTTTTGTTCATTTTGCTCTAAAGATACCGTAAGAAGTTGAAACTGTTTTGCTGCTTTGTCCCCCTAAATTTCATAGCATCTTCATATTCCAGTTCCTGCAATGTTTAGACAGAATAGAGCATCCATCTTTGCAAGTTTTCCCTGAATCATTTTCTACCTCTTGGCTAAAAGCCTGTCAGTCCAGTGCAAGTGTTTAAAGGAATTGCCCTGTGAGTGCTTAAGTAAAAAAATTTCTGCTGCATTTATGAATCTGAAGGCCAAAATTTGTATTCAGCACTCTGATCAGAGATGAGCAAGAAGGAAAAATAGATTAATTTGTAAATACTGGGTTGAATTCACATGAATGTGATTCAGTAACTCCACTTTTTATCTCTAGGCATCAGTATGCTTTTGATTAGAAGTCAGGACAATGAGATTTATGAATTGCATTTGTGTAGTATCTGGAGGAAAATTTGAGGTTCTTTACCTGACTGTACTTAAATCCATCTTTGTTTTCTCATCCTTGTGATCTAAAGATTTAAATAATCTTTTAAAAGAAAAGAATTTATGTAAAACGTACAGAAGCAGGATGCCCTTGAGGTGTTGCTTTTATAAACTGATTTGTTTATTATTGTGTTTTGTCTTGTTTTTTCCCTTTTATCCTTCAAGACCCAATTGTTATTATAATACTCTCAACAATTAACCTTAAATTGATGAGGCCTGACAAACTGTCTTCCAGGTAACCTGTTTTCTGGAAATTCACTCAGGAATTATTTTAGCTACTGCGTACATTGTAATTGCATAAGTGCACACCAGTACATAACTTATAAACTTCCAGATAGTATGTATTGACCTAATTTATTCTCAGTTGGATCTCATTACTGGTGATTCATGCATCTTCATTTTAGGTGATTTAGTGCTTCAAAAATAAGACTAGTGAATTAGATTACCTTTTGTATGTATTTGAACACAACTGTGGGAAGTATCAAAACTATAGTAATTCTACATTTTTATTCTTTCAGAAAAGAGACATCAGTTGATTGATGGAACTGTTAACTGTTTTCTTAACTTGCAAGGTACAAATTCGGCTTAAGGAAGATTAAGGTTCTGTTTTCTTGTACATATAATTTGGGCATGTAAATGGTGTGAAAAACTGATTAGTGTGCTTGTTTAGGATTTGAGTCATGCTTTGCATAATCCCCATGATTGACTAGTAGCTACCGAGGTCAAGTCTATGTGTTAACACAGCGGGACCAATTCTGCAACAATATCCTTTGTTTTTGCCATTAGAACTGCTGTGTATGTTAATTTATCCATCCTCATGAAATACTTCTCAACTAGAGTCAGGGTATCCTCAACTGACTTTTAAAAGTTACAGATGAAGCAGTTTGCTTCCATTGTGACTCTGGGTTGGTTTTGGTGTGTTCTGCTCTCTGAACTTTCAGTAATTACAGGGCTGGTACTGTCGTGCACCTTGGCATGTCCCTTAGCCTGTACATGCTGTGAAGGAAAGCAGCTTTAAGGGATTGGTTTCCTAGTCTCTTGTGGCTCAGCAGGAGTTCTTGTCTAAGCATTGTAGCTGTGTAGTCTGTGCTGTAAGCTCTTGGCTCTGAACAGCTTGCTGTTCCACCTGCCCGTTGTGGAACTATATGGGAAGCAAGTATTGTATTCCAGCCAGTTTGTGCCTGCTTAGAGTGGAAAATGTGCACACACCTGTAGGCAGTGCAAAATGCTGGGCCTCTAGATACAGCAGTAGTGAATTTTGTGATATTAGATGAAAGATAATAAATTTCCGCAGTAGTGTAGCCATGGAATCCAAGGAGTTCTAAATGATTGTGTGTTCATGCTTCTCAAGACAATTATTTCAGGTATTTTATAGACTTTCCAAGGCTACCTGTGTAACTGTAAAGGCTAGAAGCTTCAACTTTTCAAAATGAGAATGGAAATTTCTGTTATCCATTTTTTGTATTTATAAGAGGACTCTGTAGTAAAATTTATAGTTGGCCAATAACTGCTAATTATTGAGTGTTACACCTCTATTCACCAGACATTCACGAAGTGTTACATAAACATAAATTATTAATTTAGAAATTGTAGAAAACATTGTATGTATTGATGATGGCTCTCCAGTCTGCTCACCTGTGTTACATTTGAATTTGCATTTGAAGAGAGAAGTGATGCAAAGCCTTCTGCTCAAGCAAATTAAATTCTTAAAATTCTTATCTTCTATTTCAGATTTTCAGATACTGTCGTTATTCCACAGGGGTTTTAATGGCAGCTTATTCTGGTAGGATGTTCCTCCATTACTGCACTTCATCTCCTGCCTCCTGGGAAAAGGAGAGATGTCTAGAACTGCGTAGAGCTTGATTGCTGTCAGGTTTTCTTTGAGAATTCTTGTGGTAGTCTGCCTTTCAGAGTATGATGTTTGTTTGTGTGTTGGTTTAGACTGGACGGGGCAGGGAGTGAGATACAAACCCTGGGGTTGAGATAAGGAAAGATTTAATACAACAGTGTAACAAATGATCAAACAATAACAATAATAATAACCAGTAAAAACAATGAACAGGACGAGATATACAGAGATATACCACAAGAATACATCAGCAAAGGGGAGCGAGGACGAACAAAAGCCGTCCCTGCTCTTCCCGCGCTTGGGTGCCCAGACCTGATGTCAGCATGGTATTGAATACCCCAGCTAGAGCTCCCTCCACACTGCTGGGGAAACTTAACCCTATCCTAGCTGAACCAGGACAGTTTGTCATTTACAAAAAATAACTTTTACAAAAGATCCCCTACTGTGAGTGTAGATAGGAAGTTTCAGCTGGCTCTTGTAGTCAGTGGAAACTCTTCTAAAATAAAAGGAGTCTGCAGCATTACTACAGTGAACAGAACTGCGTTGTGATTATACAATGGAAGTTTATTGTAGTATCTCTTAAATCACAGCAGGTTAAGTCACCTATCTTACTGTTCTCTAAATTTGTCCTATCTTCAGAAAGAGTGTGATGTGACAGATGCAATATTGGATACTACAATATATCAGATGTGACAGCAATCCCTTCCTGTAAGCATATGTGTTATTTAATGAATGGTAATGTCAGTTAAAAACTGTCCACATACAAAGTAGCCAGATAGTGGAGCTGACTTCTGGTTTTGTAGTGGTCGTTGTTTTGCCTCTTTTCAGAGAAATGAACTACTGTTTAGAAAGAGGTGAAAAAAGAAAGGTGTGGTTATTAAATATTCAAAATAATACAAAAAAACCCCTTCCAAACCACCAAAGCTTTTTTACCCTGAACTTGACACTTTATATGTCTTTAAAGATACATGTTCTATTTCCTTGCTTGTGAAAACTAAGACTTACTTAAGAAAGATACAGGAAACTGTTGGAGTTTAGTAGTGCATAGAGGTATACATATATGCTGATCTGTTGTACTGCTCTAGAGTGCTATTAGAAGTTGAGCTAACAAGTGAAAATCTTACTGGAATATCTATATTATGTGCCACCCACAATTGCACTGAGGTTGAGATAAGCATGATCTAAACTTGGGAGTTTGAGTAGCTAATACATTACTTGAACACCAATTCAGTTGGTATCTCTTTCGTTTCTGTTTTTGAACATGGCACTACATTCTCTGCAGCTAAGAGTTCAATTGAGTGGTAATGTTGGAAAGGCTTTTGAAGCTTATTAGTAATAGATGTGTTACAGGGGCTACATCATGCAGCACCTTCACGCGAAGTCTTTGTGAATCTTTACTTAGACTTCAGCCACCTTTCGATTACTGCTGCTGTGATCATAAGCCACAAGCGAGAAAAGCATTGTTGACTCAGACTGTATTTGCCTTCTAGTAGACTCAGACTGTATTTGCCTTGGGTATTGAAGTTCAGATATATAGAATCTTTTCACTGTTGAACACAAGAATCCTGAAATGGAAAGAGGGTTTTCTGTCACTAATCATGTTAGTATGAATATAATAGGTGCTTTACAAAAATCTTACAGATGCTTATCATAATCCTAAAAGGGGGTTTTTCAATGCTGTTTTGTGTTTCACAAAAATAACTTCCAACTTCTTGGATTTGTAGTGATGTAAAGAGGAAAGAGTTTAAGCCCTATTACTAGAGGAGTATTTTTGGATAATTGTGCTACTTAGTTTTCCATCCTGTTCTTTCTAGTATGTTGTAAATAATGAAGACATGCATGCTTTGCAATAACTTTAGACTTTGCTACAAACCATTCAGAATGCCGCTGGGAGTAGATATGTAACAGTTCCATTTTATGAAGGTCAGATTAATTTATGTTTACATGGTACCACAGTGGGACTGTGTAAAGACCTGAACTAAGCACATTCCAGGGAAATGTCATGTAGACATATCTGTGGTATGTTAAGTGTTTTAATATTAGAATTTGAGACATGATGATTCACACTCTTGCATTTAAGCTACTGTTTCTCTTGATATTGAGATCTGGAAATTGAGTACAGTAATTCTTTTACCTGTGCAGCTGGGGAAGAAGGAAAAGATGTGATGGCTTAAAAGATAATTGATTATGTTTTCTTTCTTGTAGAAAATGCCAGAAGCCTCAGAAGACCATAATCATTGGAAGGCCTGTTGACTTCCATTTTCTGGTAATCTGGAACATCATCAGTCTGGCATGGCGCAGGGCAGTCAACAACTCGATGTGCAGGTACTCCATGATCTCCGACAACGTTTCCCTGAGATACCTGAAGGGGTGGTGTCTCAGTGCATGCTTCAGGTATGGTAGAGAGTTTTATTTAAGAGACTGTGTATTTTTGAACTGTAAAAATTCTTTTTAGTAGCATATAGGGAGCATAGATTTTCATGCTTCTGGTTTTGTTGTGAAAGGGTGGAAGACGCCACTACTTGCATTTTTGTCCTGTCTTTTATGTACAAAGATTTTATTATTCTTCACTTCTGTTTGTGGGTTTTTTTCATGGACTAGTCTTTCTTGTCTGTGTGATCTGTGACTGTATGCATACAGGGAATAAGGAGAGTGGGTAATGGGATGATTATTGATGATGACTGCATAAATAACATACATATACTGGAGGAGATTTTAGCAAACAATGACTTCAAAGATAAGGAACTGGCCTTAGCTAGGAATCTAAAGGGTTTCTGTCTTCATGGCATCTTTATTTGCCACAGCTGTCCAGAGGTTTATTTTTACTCTCTGTTTCCAAGTCAGGTGGCAGTTCTTTTTTTCTTTTCCACTTCTTCCTTCCACCTTTATATAAAATCACAAATTGGAAGTGATAGTAAGTGACCACGCATTTCCATTAACCTTTTGCAGTACGTGATCTAGATTTAAACCAGTGTGAGCTTTGGACCTAGCAAAAATTTAGGGTCATGTGAAATGACAAATACATCCTATACCCTGAGAAAATCAAGTTAGGGCTTGTCCTATCTATGTTCTCTCTACCTCCACCCTGATGAAGTGACCTGAGGATGCTCTTTGTGAAGTCCTGTTTAGCTGGCAAGTGGCTGATGGTAGTAGCAGTTAACTTCTTTGAGACTGCTGTCTTGGTGCTGTGGTGCTGGTTATTATTACAGAGTCTGATTCCCACATGTTCTGGTTTAAAATTTTTCTGTGATACATCTGGATATTCCCGTTGACTTTTGGGGTCCAGGAGGGGAGCTTGGCATGAAGGGGAAGTAGTTGGAGAGAAGTATCTGTGGAGTGAGAGCCATGCATAATTAAGTGTTGGACTCTTTTGTCATGTTCAGTAGTAAGTCTTCATGTGAGAAGATGCTTAGTATGTGTGTTTGATAATGAAATTGTATCTAATTTTGTGAAGGTAATTAAGACTGACTAGGTATCAGTCTTTTAGAAAAGAAGTATAACTGTGACTTTTCAACCATTGAATAGGCTTTTGAAAATTGTATTGAAGGCCATGAGTATTAATACATATACAAACTTTATATAGTGATAGTGTTTAAAATAAAAATGAAACCATTATTAAGGTATATTTCTTAGAATGATAATCTTAGCACACTAAGGAAGGCAGGGGGGTGTGTGTGTATATATATAAATATGTACATACTTTTCTAGTAGTAGATGCTGTATGTCACAGAAGGGATCAGTCTTGGATCACATGTAACAGATTTAGGGTGCTGAGGGCCAGATGTAATTGAACTTAAAGTGAAATTTTTTTCTTTAACTACTGTTGAAATTAAAAACTGAACCACAGCTGGTACAGGCTGTTATATGAGAAACTGGGGAGGAAAAAAAACATCCACAATCTGGCATGCTTTCTAGTGATTTTACTCTTTTGGAAAAGCTATCATTCATGTCACTCTTTCAGCAAGACTAGATTAAGCTGAAATGAGTGAAGAGGGGAAGAAGGGAAAGGGAATTCCCCATTATACTTTTGATTTGCTTCATAATATATTGTCTGTATAGTTTCAGCTAGCTGCTGGTACCACAGAAAAAATCAAATGTTTACAGGGGTTATTTGGTTTCTCACTGATGTATGCATAAACCTTTTTTAGCCTTGACCCTGAAATTCTTAAAGGCAGCTGAAATTATGTCAGAATTGTAAGGTACTTTATGGAATTGCCAGTAATTTTTCAAGCGATACTTATTCTGACTTCATTTTTAAGGCACTAAATTCTCTTCTATTAAGTGAAGCTGGTTGGGCTTTTAAACTTTCAGGTAAGGAGAAATACCCAGGTCAACAGTAAAATAAAGGTGAAAACAGTAAATATTTGGATACACATTAAAATGTTATCTGCATTTTTGTTTTGACTTCCCAGAGTTTGCAATTTTGATCTAGTTTGATTTGAATGCTGTTGTTAGAAGTAGATAATTGTACATACCCGTTCCTTGCAGAAGATGCCAAGAAGTCTAACCATTGCTTTCCCCAAAACTGGACTTGATTTTTTTTTTCAATATGTTGTACTGTACCTAGTGTTACTGTAGGATTTTGCTGGATGCAGTGTGAGCTATGGACTACTTGCTTATCCTATGACTTAGTAGGTAGTACCTTTATTTCAAAATTTGTGTCTCTAGTTGTGTTCAAGCTAGGTTTAATTGCAGCTTCAGCTGAATGCTTGTTGAATGCTGAGCAGTGGCTTTATTTCTTTTGCTATTTGACAATAACAGGTGTTCATTCTTACTCCTAGAACAACAACAACCTAGATGCCTGTTGTCGAGCCCTCGCCCAGGAGAGCAACAAATACTTATATATGGAGTACCATAGCCCCGATGACAGCAGAATGAATAGAAATAGCCTTTTGCACATTAATCTGGGTATTCATCCTCATACCAGCTATCATGCAGGGGATGGAGCTCAACTTAATGGTGGTCGTACACTGGTACACAGTTCAAGTGATGGACATATTGATCCACAACGCACAGCAGGTAAACAGCTGATATGCTTAGTTCAAGAACCACATTCTGCTCCCGCTGTTGTGGCAGCTTCTCCTAGTTACAATCCATTTTTCATGAATGACCAGAATAGAAATGCAGCTACTCCTCCTCCACAGCCACCTCCACAGCCATCTTCCATACAACCAGGAATGAACACGTCTGCTATGCAAGGCCCTCCTCCCACGTATATGCACATACCTCGGTACAGTACAAATCCCATTACTGTTACAGTATCACAAAACCTCCCCTCTGGACAGAGCGTACCCAGAGCTCTACAAATTCTTCCACAGATTCCAAGCAATCTTTATGGGACTCCTGGCTCTATTTATATACGACAGACATCTCAGAGTTCTTCAGGACGACAGACTCCTCAGAATACACAGTGGCATTCATCGCCACAGGGCCCAGTTCCACATTATACTCCCCGTCCTCTACCTGTGTATCCCCATCAACAGAACTACCAACCTTCTCAGTATTCTCCTAAACAACCCCAGATCCCTCAGTCAGCTTTTCGATCACCACCGGCATCCCAGTGTCCCTCTCCCTTTGGCTCTCCTCAACACCAAGTTCAGCCTCCTCAGTTGGGCCATCAGAGTTCACACGTTTTCATGCCTCCTAGTCCTTCAACTGTCCCACCCCATCCATATCAGCAAGCATCCCAGACTTTTCAAAAACAAGGCGGTCACTCTGTATCATATCTTCCTCCTTTTGCTGGACCTAGTTTATCCAAAGGTTCCATGAATAAAATAGAAATTACAGTTGAGCCACCACAGAGACCTGGGACTGCAATGAACAGAAGTCCTTCACCGATAAGTAATCAACCATCTCAGCGAAACCAGCACCCGCTGTATACAACCACTACTCCTCCTTCAAGCTCTCCATCAAGAGGTATGTCGGGTCAACCCAAACCTCCATTTAGTGTTAATCCAGTATATATTACCTACACTCAACCAACTGGACCTACAGGTGCACCAACACAGTCTCCTCGGGTAATGGTATCTCAGCCGAACCCAACTATTTTTAAAATCACAGTAGGTCGAGCACCGACTGAGAATCTTTTAAATTTAGTGGACCAAGAAGAGCGTTCTGCAGCACCAGAACCTATTCAGCCTATTTCTGTAATCCCAGGATCTGGAGGAGAAAAAGGAAGCCATAAGTATCAGAGAAGTTCTAGTTCTGGATCAGACGACTATGCTTACACACAAGGTAAATGTTTCACCCTGCAAATTGTATTATTGTAAAATGCATTTTCATCTTGATTTTTCTACTTGCTAAGTGAGAATTTTTGGACCTGTACAGAGAACAATAGAAATTACACCAAAAATCATCTAATGAGAAAGTTTGTTCTGATTTCTAAAAAATTTTGCCAAATTTCTGTCTAATGCATAAAGTATGTCTGAGGTTCTTGGAGTTGCTATGCTTTTGATGTTAGGGGAATTTCTTAAAAGAAGACACCGCAGCTAACAAGAGTAAGTGGTTTGTTCATATACTGTGTGTTGAGTTTGTAAATTCTGCGTTGAAGAACTGTGTCATAAATTTACATGGGGATTTTATTATTTTCTGTATTTTTTCCATACTCTGATGCTTTATAAAGCCTGAAGCACTAACATGCAGGGAATTTGAACCCAATTTGTTTGGTTTAGATTGAAGAATAGTAAGTGAAAGAGGAGAATTAGGATTCCTGCTAAGATTACTTTGGGTGTCATTACAAATCATTTTTGTTTGAAGGGTACTGAAATAATTATTTTGAAGAAATTTATCAAAGGTATGCTTCTTCCACTTAGAGCTCTCAAAGAAGAGGAAGAGATTGGCAGACAAATGTTAGAATTCGTGTCCTGCTTCATAGGAATAGAACATAGTTAGTCTTAATACTACATATAAATGAAGAATTAAGTAATTTAGTAAAAAAAAAAAAAAGGTGATGTCTAACCTTCAGCTGAAAACTTCTCAGAGTAATCAGCTTTATAGATTTGAAACATTTGAAATTGAGCAGATGCATCAGTCTGCAAACATTCAAACCAATCATTTGGGGTAATAACAGAATGATAATCGGCAGTAATTACTTAAAGATTTTGCTTTGTTTCTGGATTTGTGTTTGGAAAAGAGAGTCTTTTCCTCCATTGCTCCTTCTAGCCTTCCTTTCATTTTAGAGAGCTGAGATAGCGGTTATAATGCAGCCCTGTAGCTCTTGATTTCTTATTTTGCTTTGTGTCTTTTGAGCTATTCCAGCTCATCAGCAAAGAGCTGTTCTGTACCTGGTAGATGCAGTTGGAAATGTTATTTAGAGAAGTCACACTAGTAGGTCTGTAAGTCCTAGGCCATAGGCTTTGCTTGGTAGCGTTCCTATTACAGCTTCACTAAAGATTGTCAGTTATAAGTAGCTTCACATAACTGAGAAAAACATATTCTGAAAAGTAAAAATCTGGTTTTGCCTTTATCTTTGACTAGACTTGTGTATTTGGAAAACAAAACGAATAAAACTAGTTAGTATGTTGGTTTGGGGGCATCTGCTTTTGTGGCAATAACCTATCACAGCTGGGACTTGGATATTGCTGCACTCTGAACTGTTGATCGAAATAAATTGTAGAAGAATAAACATTACATTTTTTTACTACTACAAAGGAGTCCTAAAGAAGAGTATATTTAACAGCTTAGTATAGGGAACAAGTTTTTTTTAATTTTCTTTTAAATATGAACCATTGTGAAGAGCATTACCGAAAATCCATTCCGGTGTCTGTACTTCCACTGTTTTTTTTGTAGTGTGAGTCATGTTTGATGAGTTGTACTAGAATATAATGTAAAGCTGTGTAATGTAGTCATATCAGATGTTAAGTTGGAGGACTCACAGCGGCAAGGTTTGATAGTAAAAGTGGAAAATCATAAAGCCTAGTACTTTTTTTTTTTTAAATTTTGTGATCTCTTAAACTCTTACTTGGATGACTTATCCTATTTCAAAAAGTAGAGAACAGTTTTGTTCAGTAATACTGGTGCCTGTATTATAAAAATATCTCATGTTATTCTTGGGTAGGATTTTCAGTGTTTATTCTTCAGCTGTGAATTGGTGGATCCATACAAAATCAAAAGTATAGTTCTGTATTTTTTGCACAGAATACTGACACCTGATAGAGAACATCATTATTTTTATGCTCCTGACTGTTGTAGGGTTTTTATTTTTGTCCTCCACCAGTAACCTGTGTCATGTTGTTGCTTATTTTTCAAACTTTTTTTTTAGCTATTATGTAAATATTCTTGAGATACTTGTGTTTTTTCTTCACCTGTGTTGGATAGGGGTGAAGAAAAGGGCAGGTGCTAGCTGGTGCTTTGTATCAAATAGCATTTTGTGGATTGTACATATCTTCATACATTTGAACAGTTTGCTGGAACATTGTGTTATTAGCAGTGAGCTTGTCTGAATACCCACAGCAAATTTCTCTTATTTTTCTCTGTCCTAGTAGACATTAATCAGGTAAAACCAGACAGATAAGAAAGTGCTAAGTATGACACTAGGTGCCTTGGCCAGTTTTGCATCATGATGAAATACTGAGAAGCGCTCTTCTTGCAGAAAGTAAATATTATTTTCTAGCTAGTGAAAACTCTTTCTTTGGCTGGGAGCCCAACATCAGCTTTTAACCGAGAGTCCTAAATTTTAGTAGCATGACAAATATATGAAAGAATGATTAACAGCAGAGAGAGGTTAGAGGACAGCAAATCGGCTCTATTGTAGAGTTAAAGACTGAAGCGCCTGAGCTTTCCTTACTTTTTTATTTTCTGGCTTATCTAGTCTGGTTTATTGAAGTTCTGTAGTTTTGCCTTTGAGCACTGAGGAACTTAGAATATTGAGAATTACAGTACTCTCTGAAAAGATAAGACTACTTAAAGTTATTACAGCATAATCTGTAATTGAAGTGGAAAAAAAACAGTTTAGGGCTGACATTTAGCTAATGTCTCAAGGCTAGTATGTCACCTGATGTTGAGCAGCGGATGGGGAGTGTGTGTTCCCTTCTTACCTCTGGTATTTTTATTTTATTTTTTGTCAGTACAGTATTAATATAACTAGGTCTCTGTTTAATCCTGAGAAGCTGTCTCCTTGCACAGGTGCCTTTGTACAAGAAAGAACAAATGCAAAAAAAGAAGCTTTGACCAAAATGGTAATATCAACTTCGCAAATGTCTAAAATGTGTTTTTATTCTGGAAGAACTTTGTTCTAAATTGTAGTTCATTTGGCATGAAAGCATCTTCACACTGTTATTTGGCTGCATATTTATGATCACTTAATTTTTTTCCCAGGAAGATCACTCATGAATCTTATGCATAAGTTAAGAATTCTGTTTTCCAGGTTTGTGTGTGTTAGTAACTATTTATTCCATGTAAAACATTAGCCTTGCTGTTACATCAACGAGCAAGGATGGAGAGATTAGCAAAGGAACTGAAACTTGAGAAAGAAGAGCTCGAACGCCTGAAGTCTGAAGTCAATGGTATGGAGCACGATCTAATGCAGAGACGGCTTCGAAGAGTTAGCTGTACAACTGCAATTCCAACAGTAAGCAATTTGTTAGTATTTTAATTCAAGATACAAATCTATTTTTTTTATATTATGATGAACTAAAGTATTATACAAAAAATATTCTTGGGTATAAAGTCATCTATCTTTTGGAGATTATTGTTTAAGTTCTTGGCTTGTCGTAAGTCAGTTCTTATAATTTAAGAAACAGATATGTGTCCAGATAGTGTTCATAACAGAATTTCTGAAACTTATATATATATGTTCTTTTTTGGATCACAGGACTGAATAGATAGTTACTTTCCTAACAACCTATAAAAGTGTATGTCAGTTTAAAGGGCCTGAGCCATATACAGCTTGGTGTTCATGCAGCAAAGTTTCACATTTTTTTAAAAAGGTAATTTGTTTTTTGAGTAGCTGCATGTCATAGACAATCTATTTCCCATTTGGTATGTGCAGGATGTGCCAAGTAACTTTCCAGTGGCAGTGTTGGCTCAAAGAGTTGGCACCTCTCTCTCCTCTTTTCCTTGTTGATTCTTCCTGTCTGTGTGTGACTTCCACCTGCAAAGTGGCTCTAGCCCAAATGCCTGTATGGCTCTGATAAGAGAATTCATCTGACTGAAAAATAACTTCCACTTTGTGCTGTTGTTAACCAGATCAGTTCAGACTTACTGTGTTGACATAAACAATGCATGTGATTGTAGGCTGGGAGGCATAGTAGGGGCTGTTAGGTGCTCAACTAGTGTGGCTGCTTTATGTCTCACCTGCATTGTGGCAGGTGTGTCCTGGGAGGAATACAGAGGCACTGTGCGAGCATGCAAGGATGAGAGGTTGGGAAAGTCAAAGCCCGATCAGAGTTGAATCTGGCATGAGATGTCAAAGACAAAAAGAAGGGCTTCTGTTAGTACATAGGTGACAAAAGGAAGGCTACCAAAAATGTGTGCCTGTTGCTCAATGAGATGGGGAACCTGGTTACACAGGGCATGGAAAAGGCTGAGGTACTGAATGCCACCTTTGCTTCAGTCTTTACAGGCCTTCAGGAATCCTGAGTCACAGAGACCTCAGGAAAAATGAAGCAAGGACAGTATACCCTAGGTGGAAGAGGATCGAGTCAGGGAATACTTAAGCAAAGCAGACATACATGAGTTCATAGTTCTGGATGGGATGCACCCATGAGTGCTGAGGGAGCTGGCAGATATCATTGCGAGGCCACTTGAGATAATCTGTGATTGATTATGGTGTTTGGGAAAAGTGCCTGAAGACTAGAGGAGGGGAAGTGGTACTCCAGTCTTCAAGAAGGAGGACCCAGGGAACTACAAGTGGTCAGCCTCATCTTGATCCTTGGGAAGGTGATGGAACAGCTGATCCTGGAAACCATTTCTAAGCACATGAAGGACGAGAAAGTGATCAGCCATAGTCAGCATGAATTCACCAAGGGGAAGTCAAGCATGATCAATCTGATAAACTTCTAGGATGAAGAGAGTGTCCTGGTAAATGTGGGGAGAGTGATTATTGACTACCTAGACTTTGGTAAGGCTTTCAACATTGTTTCCTCTAAAATCTTCATAGAGAAGCTGATGACATATGGGCTGGATGAGCAGACAGTGAGGTGGATTGAAAATTGGCTGAATAACCAGGCCAAGATTGTGGTAGTCTGTGGCACAAAGTCTGGTTGGAGACCATTAACTAGTCGTGTACCACAGAGGAGTCAATATTGGGTCTGAAATCATTTAAATATCTTCCTTAATGATCTGGATGATGGGGCAGAGTACCCTCAGCAAGTTTGCTGATGATACAAACTGGGAGAGTTGTGCTGCCATTTGGAGGGACTTCAAGCTGGAGAAATGGGCTGGCAGGAACCTCATGCCATTCAGTAAGCGGAAGTACTAAGTCCTGCACTCAGGAACGAGCAACCCCATGCACCAATACAAGCTGGGGGCCGACCAGCTCAAAAGCAGTTTTGCAGAAAAGACCCTGGTGGTCCTGGTGGAGACCAAGCTGAAAATGAGCCAGCAGTGTGGTAAAGAAGGCTAATGATATCCTGGGCTGCATTATGAGTGTTGCCAGAAAGGGGACAGAGGTTACCCTTGTCCTATATTTGGCAGTAGTGAGGCCACACTTGCAGTATGGTGTCCAGGAGTGGGCTCTCCAGTACAAGAGAGAGACGTGGTCATATTGGAGAGATGACTGAAGGGCTGCAAAGGTGACTAAGCATCTCTCCTGTGAGGGCAGGCTGGGAGAGCTGGGACTGTTCAGCCTGGAGAAGAGAAAGCTCAGGGAGGATCTTATCAATGTATATAAATACCTGAAGGGAGAGTGCAAAGAGGATGGAGCCAGACTCCTGGCCAGTGACAAACTGAAATACAAGAGGGTCCTTCTGGACATCAGGAACCACCTTTTTTGTTGTGTGGTTCACTGAGCACTGGCACAGATTGCCCAGGGAGGTTGTGGAGTCTTCATCTGTGGAGATACTCAAAAGCTGTCTGCCATCTGGGCAGAGGAGTTGGACCAGATGACCTCCAGAGGTCCCTTCCAACCTCAGACATTCTGTGATTTTGTGACTTTGTGATGCTGGAATGTATCCTAGGATAAGATTGTTATTCGTACATATGTGTTAATAATCACTGCTGCTAGCATTGAGAAAGCTTAGTATTTCAGTAACTTGGGGTTTCTTAACAATATGGAAATATATGGACTTAAATAACTGTTCTATGGAAATATATGGACTTAAATAACTGTTCTATTAAGAATAATTACTGTCTTGGAGCAGTGAATGATTTAAATGTACTGGGCTAGAAAGTTTGGCATGTTTGAGCTTCTTGGAGTGTTGCAAAAAAATGAACTTCTGACCTTGTTTGGTTAAATCATATAATAATTAATGTGAGCTGCAGCTCTTTCCTGATCATCTTGATGTAAACTTGTATAGCAAGTCACCACTTTATACAGGTTTATAAGGTGTATGGTTTTATAAACTTGAGCTCAGTTATGTCTTCTTACTAATTAATTTTAATACTGAGTAACTTGTTCGTTTTTGTTGGTTTGGTTTGTTTTCCTCCTCAAATAGAAGAATGTTTTTTGAGGGAATACATTGGGTAGGGGGAATGGGACAGGCTGTGGAATCTTGGCTGTGTTTTTCAGTGCCTTATCTGTACTCAATTTCAAATAAAGCTGTTAACAAAGACATAGCAATGTTATTTCTATGTCAGATAAGGTGCTGACTTTCCCACAATTACTGTATTGGGTTTTTTCTTTCTAGCCTGAGGAAATGACCAGGTTGAGAAGCCTCAACAGACAGCTCCAGATAAATGTTGACTGTACACTGAAAGAAGTTGATCTCCTTCAATCTAGAGGTATAGAATTGATATTTTTTAAAAACAAAACAAAACAAATTTAATTTATATATAGGTGGGAGTGTTGAGGGTAGGAAGGCTCTACAGAGGGATCTGGACAGCTTTGACTCGATGGGCTGAGGGCAACTGTATAAGATTCAACTAGGCAAAGTGCCAGGTCCTGCACTTGGGTCACAACAACCCGATGCAACGCTACAGGCATGGGGAAGAGTGGCTGAAAAGCTACCTGGCAGAAAAGGAGCTGGGGGTGCTGGGCGACAGCCAGCTGAGTGTGAGCCAGCAGTGTACCCAGGTGGCCAGGAAGGCCAACAGCATCCTGACTTGTATCAGAAATAATGTGGCCAGCAGGACTAGGGAAGGGATCGTCCCCCTGTACTTGGCACTGCTGAGGCTGCACCTCAAATATCATGTTCAGTTTTGAGTCCCTCACTACGAGAAAGACATTGAGGTGCTGGAGCATGACCAAAGAAGGGCAAGAGACCTGGTCAAGGGTCTAGAGCACAAGTCTTGTGAGGAGCAGCTGAGGGAACTGGAGAAAAGGAGGCTCAGACCTCACTATCTGTGACTACCTGAAAGGAGGTTGTAGAGAGGTGGATGTCAGTCTCTTTTCCCAAGTAACAAGCAATAGCGTAAGAGGAAATGGCTTCACATTGCTCCAGGGAAGGTTTAGATTGGATATTAGGAAAAATGTCTTCAGTGAGAGGACAAGTATTGGTACAGGCTGCCCAGGGAAGTGGTTGAGTCACCATCCCTGGAGGTATTAAAGGATGTGTGGATGTGGCACTTAAAGAGGACGTGGTTTAGTGGTGGGTTAACGGTTGGACTTGATGATCTTAAGGATCTTTTCCAACCTAACTGATTCTGTGGTTCTATTATGTTCTTAAATGTGGATGCTTGGACTCTTTGAAGTTAAATTTTGATTATCAATATCAATTTTCCTCTAAAAGGTATCTTTTTCAGTTGCAACCTGATAAACTTGACTTGTTAATATTTCTGTTGGCCAAGTTATATTACATTACCAAGGAAGTGGCAACTTAAAACTTACTTTGTTAAGAGCTAATTAGAAAGAACCCAACTCCTTAGTGAAGATTCTTAAATTTTTAACTTTTTGCTGACAAAGGTTCTGATCAAGTAATACAAAACAGAGCTACGGTTTGCAGCCAGGAAATTGTCAAACAGAAATCTACTGAGGTCTTTAAAAGCCCTCTTTCTGTGACAAAAAATTGACATAGATACAATCAAATAGATTAGAATACACATAGTATATCCTTTTTTACCAAGAAAGTATCCTACAGAAAGGTTTGTTTTCATATTTTTAGAGCAATACAGAATGTTGAACTAGGGTGGGTTTTTCAATATGGGATTAGCCTGCTGCAAATCAACACAAAACTGAAAATGCGTGACGAAAGACTACTCAGGAAGAAGCTAATGTATAATGTCATAATAAAAAGATGTATAAAATCTGAAGCCTCTAGATGTTCATATCGCTGGCATAGGGATGTAAATAACCTTTGAGTTACGCTTTCTTTCTTACTTTTGTTTTCTGACAGGGAACTTTGATCCGAAAGCCACATGTAACTTCTATGATAACATAGAGCCTGGTCCTGTTGTGCCACCAAAGCCATATAAAAAGGGTAGGTCAACAAATAAGCACTGTTACCTAAGATGCACTGAGAAAGCTTTTTTTTTTCCTGCCCCTCTCTTCTTTTTTTAAAAACCACTGTCATGACAGGACACAATTCTAACTATTATAACTTTTCTTTCTATATAAGCCAAACCAAAACATTTTTATAGAAGAGTAGTAATCCTGGCTACAACTTGTTTTCCTCAGGCAGGTTGTTGAGAAATTAATATGTTGTTTGTAAATACTGTTATTCACTATTAGAAAAAGAGTTGAAAGTATACCAACATTTATGTGTTGACATGAGCTTCCTAATTCTGTTTTTTAACTTCTAGGTTAAAACCTCTGTCAGGTTTGCTTAGGTCTCTTCTTACATGTTGTTGTTAGGATTTTGTAGTTTAGCTGGGATCTGTTATTGCAAGTTTAGTTGGTCACAGCAGCTTTTTAAAATTTATATTTTTAATTATATTTTAACCTGACTGGTCATACTTTACCTATTTTTTGTGCAGAGTATGAATTTCACAGTAGCCCTGAAGTTTTAGCACAATAAGAGCTTCAGACATTTTAAGGACCAAGACAGCAGAATTTCCTCACATAGGTCTAAAGAGATAACAGTGTCCCACTTGTACGAGTTCACTTCTAGTTTCTAAGATTTTCTGTGTTTAATTGTATAGTATCTAGGATTCATGTCCACCTTAGGACACATAAGTTTTATGTGAGCACAGGAGCTATTTATTTAGTCTCACTTTTTGTCCAGTGGAGATTCAGTCAGTACTTCCCAGAGTGACTCAATTCATCCTAAGTAGACACCTAGTCGCCACGTATCTCAGTTGCTCTCTGAACTCCCATGAATTCAGTGGTGATTTTGAAGCAGAATCCTACTTTTTGTCTCTGGTATCTTTGGACCTTTTTTTTTTTTTTTTTTTTTTTATCTGTTAAAAGAATAGTTTTAAATATTAATGGAAGTTTTTAAATGCATTGAGTCTTTCTGCTGAAATAGCCAATCTGTGGTCCTGTGCTCTGATACAGGATAAACAGTGATCTTTTTTCTAAAATTTAAAAGAAAGAGAAGGCCCAGAACTACTGATCATCGTTCAAATAAACCAAAAGGGCAGTACTGGGATGAGTTCCCTGCATAGGTGGTAGTGTTCAGGAAAGACAGTAGCAGCAGGTGAACAGTGGCATGAAGGCAGCTGCCTGGATTCATGTTAAATTGCAGTGATCACGTGATTGATTTAAAGCACTGACACTTCATGATGTCTGTGGAAATTATCTTAATTACACTAGTCTATTTGATTTATTATTTCAAAGCAAAATGACGAATGTGCAAAACTTGCATGAAATAAGTTATTCTATTTGGCAATTGAAAATACAGTGTCTTTAAGGATTTTAACAACTTTTATGACCAGCTTCCCAGTTTTGTCTGTCAATTTATTAGAGGTCAGTTTTAGGGCTAATGTACTGAGCTTAACTTTTAACATGGAGTTGTCAAAATACTTTTTTCTGAAGAAATTTCATTTCCTTAATTCTCAGCTGTTGAAGGTGTGGGCAGACAGATATGGTCAGACAAGGATCTGCTCAGTGCTGCCACCTGGCTAGTCAACAGGAATGCAGTCTAGTGCCCACACTACTTGCTTGCTTAGAAGGAATTTGTTGAGGCCAAGCACTGTTAATGTGACTGTGCAACTTCTGGACTGGAGAGGGTTTACATCCAAGCAAGGAGGTCACTTATTTTCTTCAAGTATGTTTCTGAAGACAAACTTAAGGACTGTTTGGACTAACTTTTGTCATTAGCCGTGATCTGGTAGATTTCTTAACAGATGACAGCAGCGTGTACACTTTGAATTACAAATTGCAGTCCTTTTTTTACAATGTAAATTCTATTTTAATTAAGCTGTTCTACACACGTTTGTTTATCAGATGGGTATCTTGACCTTACCTTCTAGGTATGTGTGCTAATGCTTCAGATATTAACATTTTGTAAAATGCTGTGTTTCCACATTGTCACTTCTAGTAGATAACCTGAAGTGTTGAGGTGGTGGTAAGAGACATAGGAAAACCTAGTCTTTCCATGGGTTAATACCTAATATATGATTTGCATACATGCTGATTTTATGAACGAAAAGAGACTTAAGTGCTGCTTCACATGCACACATCCCTGCTGCAAAGCCTTAAGGAATCAGAACAACCATCTTGTTTTGAAACAGGCCTACCATTTTATTTTTGTATTGTATTTTCTTCAGCCTGAGTAAATGCTAGAAGAAGATGCAGAAAATGTATCATCTGTCAGACTGTTTGAAGGAACTAAGTTAAAAGTAGCCTTTCAGTTCAGGTAAAGTAGGGTTATTGGAATTTAGAATTTGGTAATGGACTGCTGTACATAAACCTATGAAGTCATTCATTAACAGGATGGTGTTGCAGTTCCGGTAACAAACTTTTCAGTACGTTTTAAGCTATTAAACCTTTAGCAGTTCAGTGACCTAACACTGGTGACTTCTCTTTTTGTTTTTAATGTAGTATGGTAAGTGATTCTTTACAGAAGTGAAATACTTTAAATACTCAGATTTCATAAGCTGAATTAGAACTGCTTTAGCAAAAGACCTTTAATGTTACCAAAGTAGGAAGGTTTCCACATGCATTTTTAGATAGAATGTTTAATGAGGTGAAAAAACAGTAGTATGATCTTGCCTATCATCCTTCTCTTCCAAAATAAGAAAAATTGTTTTCCTTTTGCTTTTTTTAGAGCATCAAAACAGCTCCAAACAGACTCCACGGACTCAGCCAAGAGATGAAGACTTTGAAGGGGCTCCATGGAATTGTGATAGCTGCACCTTTCTAAATCACCCAGCACTAAATCGCTGTGAGCAGTGTGAAATGCCACGATACACCTGAAAATCAGGAAGGGGCTGCATTGAGTTGAAAACAGGCTCTCAAGCCAACAGCTGTAGGAGAAGGAAACATGGGGAACCTTTCAGTCCATCTGCCCGGCCTTTGCCAGTCAACAATCTTCATATTGCAAGGGGTGGGAGTAATGTGTTCAGATGTTTCTGCTTGTGCTACACTATAAATAAATAAAGGGTAAAATTCTTTCTTATCCCATTGCTTTGAGCAAAGCAGAAAACGAAACCTGAAAAAGTAAAAGGATTAATTTTGGGAAGAATGTATACAGGAAAGCAAATAACTACTGGTATTTAGTCCTGTGGTTATAGTTACTGCTTAGTGGCTCAAAAAACCCCCCAATAAACTGTTTTGTTTTGGGTTTTTTTTTAAGAAATTGTAGGACTCTTAGTAATGGTGTGAAATGTTACACTTAACCAGAAAAACTGAAGAGCCAGAGCTGACTTAACCTGGCCACTGCTAGCTGGAAAACAAAGGATCCCTGTGCTTCTAGATTGTAAGCTACTGAAAAAGAAGACAGGTAAATTCAAGGAATTTTTGCAATGTATCAAAAGCAAGGAGAAGGGTATTTGTAACTGCTGCTTTTTTTCAGGGTAACTTATGTCTACAAAAAATTGCTGTTTGAAATAGTAACCTAAGGTGACTAAATGAGATGCCGTATGAGTGTTACAGAGAGTTTAATCAGAGGTAATTTTTTACAATCCCTTTTGCTTGTACAGTGCTCACCTGGCTGTGTCAACACTGGTAATAAACTAAGAATGAATTCTACCATACTACGGATGAAAATACTGCTGCATGCTTTCAATAGGCCGTCGTGTTTCAAAGCTAAAAGTATGCTTTTATATACAACAATCTTCTAAGCCTGTGCTGTGTGGCAGCACAGTGACGTATGCCAAACACAGACTACTCCAAATTTCATTTGAAAACTTGAGCTCAGCCATGGTTGTGTATGAGAAGAGTTTGTACCCAGTTCCTTAGGCCTTTTCAGCTTCCAATTTGTGAAGAATTCATGATGTTTACAGCACAGAAGGTACTTTGTGCCCCAGTTCAAAGTTAGCTGAAAAATAATGAATCAGCTCTTCAGTAAAGGTTTATTTGCACATTGTTAATAAACCAGCCTGTATAAAATAGCAGATGCCAGATCTTGAAAAATTACACACTGCATTCTTTTTATTTTGTTCAGGAAATATTTGCTGTAGGTTGAAGAACACAAGACTTGCAACTGAAAATCATACTGGTACTTTTATGCATATGTTATACTGTATTATAAAGGTGATGTTCAATTTGTTTGAATGTTTCAGGTTGCTGTAATAAAGCACTCAATACTTGTGAAATCAAACTTGGGTTTGGGCAGCTGAATGATTATGTTACACAACTGTGCGACTGAGTAGGATGTTCTTGTGTACTGATCAGAAGCTGGTACAGTGCATTTGAGTTTTTATGGTATAACTTTGTCAAGATTGAGATGCAACAAAGCACATCAGCTGAGTTATGGTAATTGGCTTTGCATCTGTGAGGCAAAATGTGCTAGCTAAACCTTACCAGAAGAGATTTAAACTACTTCGTTTTACATTGTTCTTAGCTCATGGCAGCCACATCCATATGGTCAATTACCACAATTCACTTGATGTGTGATAACATGTTAAGTTGTGGTAGAACAATCATGCGTCTGAATCCTTATTTTAAATCAAGCGTCGTTTGTAAGGGGTGGGTGGAGAAAAACTCATCTTGACTGCATTGCTCAATCTGGTGTCTTCTCTCCCTGCAGTTTATAAAGATAACAGTAAAAACCAAACTGTGATCTTAGATGAGGAACCAATATTTTATCTGGCATTTTTCAATATGTTCTTGCACTAATTAAATCTTCAGCATAATTTTAAATAAGCTAAGAGATTCCAGCAATCAATTGTATATCACTGATGAGCAAGTTAAAGTCAAAAGCATCAGAGCTAGTCCCTCCCCTCCCTATTACTATGTGGGGAGCTTATCACATGTGCAGAGGCATAAAAAAGTTACTGTCAAATGAAGTTAGAAGGCAGATAAGAATTTTATTCATGTAAGTGGACAGTTTTGACAAAACTGAGATAAATGGAAAACCTAAGCAGAAGCATAATACCTAGGATAAGCAGTACCATTGCTGTTGTCAGCTGTATAATGAACTCCTCAAAACAATACCAGTAACTTCATGACTTTTCTATCATGATGCCTTTGCCTCTGTATTAGTTCAATTTTCTGTTCATTTGTACTTCTATTGAAGTTCTAGAAGCATTTGTTTTTGCTGGAATTACAAAATGATAGCAACTGAAATGTCAGTCAGCAAATGTGAGTAGGTGTGTCATGCATCAATAGAGTTGTGCCATTTTCAGACAGAATAGATGCTGCTTTTGAAGGAGGGGGAAATGCACGCAGTCCAATAATTCCCTGAACTGTAATAACCATAAATAGAAACTTGCTAATCTTAGTCATAGCCTCACCAGAGAAGGATAAGGAAGGCTGCCATGACAGCAAGATACTTTTTGGAAGACTGAGTGAGTGCCATTAATTGCCATTGAATTCCCTCATACCAATAATTTTACTCCAGTTTTTTAATTACTCTTATTTGTTGCTTCTACAAAAAAAAACCCAAACCTTGTAAATGCCCGTACTCAGACGTTAATAGCAAAGACTTTACGTGGTGCTTGAATATTTCTAGTTTGTTAGAATGTAAATTGTATTTTGAATATTGGAAGATCCTTTTTCCTTATGAAAGCAGGTGATGCCATTCATACCCCAACTGAATTGCAGATTATGCCAAAAAGATTGGTTTATGTAATATTTATTAAATGCACATAAAACCCTAATGTCAGCTGGCATACAAAATGCACTGTATTGTATAAAACGTGTGTGTGTGTGTGAGAGAGAGAGAGAGAATGGTGGGATGCTGATGCCATTGTGTTGAGTTAATGCACTACTTGTGTTTTCTTTTTTTCCTTAATGACCGAGCTTTCCCTCAACCATGCTACTAGATTGGTAGAGTTTGTAACTGACTTGGACATTCAGATATTCAAAATAATTTCACTGTTTATTGCAATTTTATAAAGCTTATTTTATATTTACTGTGCCGTTAAGATGAATTCCCTTTAATTATAGAATACTACTGTAGTTCTTTCAAAGTTTATTTAGAGTGGAGCTTGTGGAAAATGATTCAGAATATAGTAAACCAAAAGAAATCCTGAACTTTGGATCTACTTCTGATTTGATGTAATTATTAGTCCTGTTTGGGTGAAGAGGACAGGGGTGGGAAATCAAGCAAAAGGAAGTACTTTGTAAAATGTAGTCTTAGATCAGATTGAATTGTGTATCTGTGTGTCTGTAGTATGTGTGTGTTTCCCTTGAAAAATGGGAGGTGTGGTGAAAAGATGTAATAATTCTTAAAAGAGCTGGTCTCAGTACTTTCTGATTATGATATGCTACTAAATCACTTTTTAAAACAAACAAACCTTTTCTTTCAGTTACTTTATCCCAGTTATACATCTCTCATTTCAATTTCTCGATACTTTTACATTTAATGATTGTAAAACCCTTTGAAACTGAAATAAAAATACCTGAGTTGAAATGGGGACAAAACAAAATTAAAACAATAAAGAATGTTTTAAAAAAGAATGTGAGAATATTACATGTATCAAAACAAGTTTGTCATCAGGGTGATAGTTTTTGTTTTAAAATTCAGTGATATACCCTAGAATGTGAAAATTACTATCCTGACAAGAAGTGAACAGTTGGAAATAAACAATTCATCAGCTTGTTTTGTACCACAGAATTTGTGTTCTGTACTACAGTGATTCTAAATCCCGTAAAGATGACATGAACAGATATCACATCTCATAGTCAGTACTGTCTCTATGTGCTGCTGCATTTGCTTTTGTTTCAAAATGTCAATATTATCTGAAGCTAGACATGACTGAATTTTGCCAGATTTCTTCAGTTTGGGGCTTTCATTGCTCTTTTTGTCCATAAATATTAATGCAAATATTTTTCTTGGTTTTGAATAATCAGAAATCAATGGAGTTAATGCAATATTATAATCCTGGATTTTCAGTACCTTTGAAACTGATTTTAAAAAAATGTGTTCTTGAAACTTATTTATTTATGGTGGCACCAGTGTATCTAATCCATATTTCCTGCTGTGTGAAACCCTGTTAAATTTTTTCATTAAAAAAAGAAGACACGATCTTGTTTAATCCTGTATATATGGTGTCTACATTCTAGATTTGTGTATGCTGTGAATGAACTTATTACTAAGAGATGAAATTGTATAAAAGCATTCAGAGGCTATGCATGCATGGTACCTCCAGAAAGTGCATACTCCAAGTTGCAGATTCCTGCAAAAATAAATTAATAAAACTAAGCAAACATAACATCCTGCATTTGTTCTTGTATGTAGTAGGAAACATTTAAAAAATACAGCCTTTTTGCTTTCATAGTCTGATTGTTTCTGATCTTCCACTTGAACCCATCGTTATTGCAGATTTGATTCAGGGGCTTTTGGGGTTTTATTTTTTGGTGGTTCTCATTAGGCAATTGGTGAATGTTGAACTGGGGTCCAAATCCCGTTCCTGTGAATGTGGACAGCTTGTATGAGCAGGAGTGCCATATAGATGATGGATATTCTGTGCAGCTTCTGCTGTGGAAACAGGACATCGGATGTTCAGAGTGTGTAGTTGAGCTCATCGTTTTTATTTTTAAGTGGAAAGTTGTTGAAGGAGTCACTTTCCCTACTATAGCAGATGGTCACCTTTTGTTTGTAGCCTTGATTGCAGGCATTCCTGCTTATCCTCAGTAGTACTATCTGGATTGCAAAAGTCCATCCTCTGCTATAACCTCTTACAAAAAGGTGCTGCTCTGGGAGAGGGGGGAGAATTTGAGTAAATCAGTACACAGGCAATTTATTAGTATATCTTCTCAATTCTCTTGATTGTAGCAGCTCACCACCATCAGCTGTATTTTGTTCATGTACAGTTTCAGTCATTGAACACATTCTGGTCTAACAAATCTACCACAACTTTGGTTTCGAACTTTTGTCATCAAACGTATAAGAATTTAGGTTTAATAAATTTAATTCCTTTTGCTGAATTGAATTTTTATAAATTTAAGGATAGGTTTATATTTTAATCAAGCATTTGATTCTTTCACTTTAGAAATCATTGCAATTGAAACTTTTGATTATTTAAAAAAACAAAAAAACAAAAAACAACCAAGTTTCAAAGCTTTCAAGTTTCACGATGGTAAGGTACCTGTAAAATACATTATGCTAATGGCAAACACCCAAAGGCAAAAGACACTAGTTCTGAGAGCTGGCAGTGGCCACTTATTTTGTTGTTTTTCCCGTGAAGGCAGGAGGAGGAGGATCTGTCTGAAGTAGTTGCCTAAAACCAGTTGATTTATTCACAGGAATTTCTTGCTTTTGACAGTACTGCACCATGTCTTAAACCTGTGGCACTCAGAGTGATGATTTGTCTTGTGATCTGGTAAGTATTCTGGGAATTAAATGCTGCTGCTTCTAATCAGTCAAATGATCCATAGTGCTGGGTAAGTGCTGTATATTCCCTAATTGCACCCTCTCTAAATACACTTTTTGGAAGGAGATGGCTTAGGTAACTAATTTCACCCAGCAGCTGGACTCAGATGATTATATATTAAATGGGTTACCTGATATTTCGTGTTAACCTTATAAAATCATTAAGAGAAGGGGCTATGTTTATTTTTAGCTAAAGGGTCAGTGATTGTGACATGTTCTAGTTTGACAGTAAAAACCAGACAATGAAAGACCCATAAAAAACCTCTTGCAGGAGTGACACTATTTTACAAAATACTCAATTTCTAGAAAATAGTAAAATTTTGATTTTAAAAAAAAAAAAAAACAAACCCCACACATTCATAAAAACTCCACTCTGCAGATAATTCCTTTCTGGTTAGGCAAGACTTAAAACTTTGCACATATTTGCTAATTTTACAAGTTCTGTTTTGAAGATTTTGACTAATTGTCCTTCCTAAACCATAGTGATCTTGTTGATGTAAAAGTCTTCTGTCATAGGTTTGTTTAAAAAAAATAAAAGGTAAATACAGTTCTGTTACTGCTTTAGAAACAAAACCAAAATGTCTGAATGAAAGGCAACACAGGTGCTAATTGATTTTTGATTAAGCTTCATTTTTTTTGGAAAGGAAAATGTCTAGGCATGTGAGAGTGTTTTTTGATTTTTCTTTTTAGGAAAAATATGTAATATTTTAGGAAAAAAATCTGCCAGGTGAGGAAGGTTATTGTAGGTTTGAAAGTGGCATTCTGATTCCCAGCTGGTACAGCTTATCAGTACGTTGTATAACAGTCGGTAGGTACCAAATTGTGGCGTTGGTTACAAAGACAGACAGTGTGGCATCTTTCAGAAGTATTTAACAGCCATACGTTATGTCCCTGTGCTGTGTGGGACATGCAGCCAGTGTGTGACAGCGAGGCATCATGGGTTGCAATCAGTTGGTTTTCATCCCCTCGTGCCATGGGACGAGCCAGTGAGAGCTGTCTGTCTGTCTGTCGTGCCCTGTGGTACCCTCTCCTGCTGACTGGTGACGAACAGGGCCTGCCTTCAACTCAGTCACCTGACCTGTCGATGTTCCCATGGCAGGAAAGATGGTTGGCCTCTTGGGAAAGAGTAAGAAGCCAGGACCAAACACTCCCCACACTTACGGGAGAGGCAGTTCAGGAGCTGTCTGGGAGCTGTGGATTTGGGTCAGCCGAAGCTGGGGCTTCCCTACCCCAAATCTTAGACGTGATAACTAAGCTCAGTGAATATTCATCACAAGCTCTCAAGGGCTCCTTGCTCGTTTGTTCTCAAGTATCCTGAACCAGCCTTGCAAGTTTCTGACATTGAGGATTATATTTCACCTGAAACTTTCTTTGCTGATTTTGAGCATATCAATGAACTCTCATGACTTGGCAATGCTGAAGTTGCTGTTGGCAATGTAACTGGGTCTCTGCAGAGTGCCCTGTGCGTTGGAGAGTGCCTAGTGTGACTGTGCTAGAGGTCTAGATCCACATGTAGTACCCCTCTGACCCATTCCCCAAGGAGGGGGAGAATAATAGATACGCTTTCCAGACAGGTGGATGGGTTTAGAGTAAGCAGGGTCTGAGAAAACTTTGCAGAGAATGACTTGAGTCTATGATGATTTGTAAATCATTTCCCATAATTAGATTTCTGTATATGCTTTTCTTTCTTTGTAATCAACAGCTGTGGTGATGAAAAGCCTTGGTCATCTTTCATCACTGCAGGTACTGAAGCCTAATGGATTGGTTTGGTTACTGTTCCAGGTAACTGGCTTTAACTTTTTTTTTTTTCCCCACATCAAACAATTGTTCATAAGCCAAACAGACATTCTTCCCTCTTTTTTTTTTTTTCCTTGTTTTGAATGATAGCAATGTATGACCGTGAATCCAGATGATCATTATGTTTTCAAACTCTGAAAAATTCAAAGCTACAATGAGTAGGTAACGAGCTTTATGTGCATTCATACTCTTCGCAACACCGATAAGTCAGTGTTGTACCACATAGAAATAACTAGATAAATACTTTATAAAGCAAACCTTAAAAAAAAAATAAAAATTTTCAAACTTACTTCAGGCTTTAGTATTACTGTTTAATAAAACTGAGAAGCAGACTGGATGACTTGATCCTGTAGCCCTTTTAAGAAACTTAAGCCAATGCTTTCAGTAAGAATTGTTATCTCTGGTGAAACAGCAAGCACCAGACAAAATGGGCATATCTTGTTTTGTACGACTAAAGTGAGATATTTGAAATAAGTTTATTTTTTAAATGTGTATGTTGACCTTATCAAATGATTGATTAAATAAAAAGCTAAGTGATTTGCATGCAAAACATTTTGATTTAGTAGTCCATGTATTACGGTATTAAAACCAAGTACCATCAAACAGACTTTTCAAGAGCATGACAACAAGATCCCTTTTATTTTCAACTGAAGCAATATTAAACTTGCTGAACATGATACCATAGGCCCTTTACATATTCTATCATGTTTTCCTGGTTGATTACCATCCAGTTCTAGTCTAAGATTAAATATATCCTGCTTTGACCAACAAGGTCTCCCAGGTATTTGATGGTTCCTTAACTGAAATTATCTGATGGATAGCAGCCTTCGGAGGAAAACACAAGTGTGCCCAATGGCTCTTGTGTGGCAGGTGCCAGCAGCTGGGGAGGGCGAGGGTCTGGGGCAGCCTCTTGAGAGACCCTGGACATCTGCGTTGGACACGTACGTGTGTACTGCCGCTGAGACCTCCATCCTGATCCACTGGAGAGGGGAGTGGGGTGAGACCGCTAGTGCTGTTTGTGTTCATGTAAATGCCAAGCCTGTCTGTCTGTGTGGATCCATGTGCCCAGCCATACGTACCCGTGCTTGTGTATTGCACCCCTGTGGGGAACACACCTTCACCTGGGGGCATGAGGCAGCTGCAGCCCTGTCTTCAGCAAGCTACAGGCTTTGGCAACTGTGCTGCTGGCAGTATGTAGCCCTGGCAATGCACTTCAGAAGGTGAAGTTGTAGCACATACAGCCCAGAAAAGAGTCATAATCGTACCAGTGACAACAGAGTAATAACAGGATCTTGTGCTAAATATGTCTAAGCTATTTAAGTATATTCTGGCTGCAACACGAGTCATCTATCCACCAAGGAGGGAAATATAGATGTTTTCATGAGCTATAAAAATCACCAAGTGTGTGAAATTCCCACGCAGTGATGCCTGGCTTTGAAAATGAAAGCAAGTTTATTACAGCAATAAATGCAGAGTCTGTAAATGTTTCCCAGTAGTTTTCAAAGCTGTTCCTTAAAACGAAGTGAAAGATAACCACTTTGCTCTTTTTCCGGCTCACAAATTCTGCTGACATCAAATTTGTTCTATGAGAGTAACAGCTTTGAAAAAAATTCTCTGCCCTGACAAATGAGGGACCTGTTCTTTATCCAGAGGAATAACTTACTCTTTCCCCAAAGAATTTTGTCTTGTCTGTTTTTTTCTCGCTTCTGCAGATATGCAGACCTTTATCAGGTCATGCTATTCTTCAGCTGCAACATTTTTTCACCTGACTTTGCCAGTTGCAAGTTAAGGCCTTTCTGGCCTCCTGCAGGTCACTGGTCTGATGCAGAAGACCTGCTGGGACAGATACGCATGTGTGTAATCTAAATAAGTTTATTAAATATGTCATGCCAGTTTCTTATGGGAAGAAGTCTCTACTCATGCTGTTCCATAAGGATTCAGAAATCCCAGCACCACTTCAGACACCGGTTTCTCTTATGATCTTGGTCACTTCTCAGAATTTCTGCTTCTCTGTTTCTGATTTTGGGGCAAACAGTCAAAACT